TATATTTTTTAAGTATTGTAGGAAAGATAGAGAGATAAGAAAAATTATTTTTAAGTATGATACTATTAAATAAAAAAATTTTTTTAATTTTTTTTCTGAATTTAAAAGTTTTTTTCCTATCCTAACGATAATAAAAAAATAAATTAATTTTAGAAAAAAAAATTAAAAAAATATTTTTCTCAAGAATGCAGTACGTAAAAGGACCCAAAGAAAAGTATACCGAAAATCCATTAAGAAAAATAAATTTTAACAAAAAATTCTTAAAATTTCATCTCAATAAAAATCGAAAAAAGATTTTTTAAAAACTATGTTAAAACTTTTAAAAATATTTTTCAAAAATTATAAATATTTCGTTAAATAAAATATATTTACTAAAACTAAATACAGGGTGCGGCAAATTGGCCGCCCCTTTTGTTTTTGCCATAACTTTTTTCAAATTCAACCAAATTGGATAATTCTTTTTTTATTTTATTCCCAACACTCTAGGAAAATTTTTGGTACCAAGCAATTGAAATTTGGTTAAGTTTTAGTAAAGATATACCCGTCCGAACATTTAAGTGCGCAAAAAATATTCTTTATGACAAAGTTTACACTGTCATAACTTTGCTCAATGTCGTCCAATCTTACTAATTTTGGTACCAATCGACTTATCTCAGTGAGGAGCATCGAAATATTCAAGAAAAATATTTTTGAAAATTTCACCTAAAAAGTTGAAATTTAACACCTATATTCTAAACTATCCGTTAAAAATTCATATACAGCTCATGGACCAGATAAGAGTTTTGTTTAACCATTATTCGAATCAGTTTGAAGAGCTTATTCGAATGAAATTAAGTTTTCAAATATCAGAATCTTAACATTGAGCCCAGGCCAACTTTTATCAAAAAAATTTTACTCAAACTTTGAAGGAAAATTAAACAGGCTAAACCATAAGATTTAAAACAAATTTTAGTATCAAAAATTTTCCTAGAGTGTTGGGAATAAAATAAAAAAAGAATTATCCATTTTGGTTGACTTTGGAAAAAGTTATGGCAAAAACAAAAGGGGCGGCCAAATTGCCGCACCCGGTACTAAAAATATTTTCTCTCCCTTTTACTATTCACTATCCGAGAGGCAAAAATTGAAAAAATAAAAATAAAAAAAATTAGTGGGCGGACACTGCTTGCCTATTATAAAGACAGCCATGGTCATCGACTATATATTTTTAATAAACAAAAAAACGACTGGAAAAAAATTTTTAAAATAAATAAAAGGAGAAGAAAACTTCGTGCCATCCTTAGCTTTTTACTTGGGAAAATAAGAAAAATTTACAAAAAAAAAATTTTTTAATAATAAAAAAAATATAATAGGCGAGAGAAGAGTTAACCAAACTTAAGGGAAAAAATTGACGTTAAAGTGATATGTATACTACAACTTGTAGACTAGAATTGCAGTGATAACTATAGTTAAAAGTCTAATCCTTATAGCTCCTTATCCTTATACCAATCCTTATAGCAGCTCATTTCAAAAAAATTTATTTTTTTTTACGAAATTTCTCATCATCCACTCATTAATCTATCTCTCTCTCGAAAGCAATAAATTTATATAAAAAAACTAAAAAATAAATTTCCTCGTCTATCTATCCCTCCCTCCGTTCCATTTTTATTTCGTCTGGCTGTCTCATTATTTTTAATTTTTTATGTGTGCAATGGTCATTTTTCTCAATTTTTTCCAGTCACACTCACAAAATAAATCCAGACAATGGGCAATCTGCCAACCGACGAACACAAAAAAAATTTTTTTTATAAAAAAAGAACGACTAGCTCGACCTATTTAAATTTAATCTATATTTTTTCTTGGATGGATAGCAGCTCTCAAAAAATGGTTGTGAATAGTTAGTGTCCATCCGCTTTTTTAAAAATATATTCTTTGTGCTTTTCGGACCCCCCTCCCTACCTTCCCCCCTCACCCTAACCTTTCTCAAAAAAAAGAAATTAAATTTTTCCTTCTCTAAAAATTAACTGAATTCCTTCCCCCACCAACTAGCAATTTTTTAAAAATTCCTCGTTCAAATCATTTGAAATTTTTTTAATTTTCCAAAGTTTAGCTTGGAAATGAGATAAAATAAAATTTAAAAAAGGAAAAAATTTAAGGTTTAAATAAAAAATATTTAAAAAAATTAAAATTAAACTCTAATATAAAATATTTTTACAAAAAAAAATTACAAAAATATTCCAAGTTTCCCAAATAAACCTCAAGTTCCCCCCACCCCCCATTACTACCCTCCAAATACAAAGAATTTTAATAAAAAAAATTTTTTTTAACTTCAGCTTCATAAAGACAATTTATTTTCACCCTTTTTAAAAATGTTTTTTTACTAAAAAAATATTTAAAAAAAATAGAGACTCGTTCGCTTGCGCTTTTTTTCTTTTATTATATTGGTGCCAGCCGGTGGTTGCTGTTTGTTTTTTACGAATGAGGGAAGATGTGAGGGAAGAAAAAAATAGAGGAGAAAAAAATGGGAGGAAAAAATTACTAAAAAATAAATAAAATTGTGTGTGTAGTGGTCATGTGAGTGTCGAGAATTTAGTTGAAGAAAATGTCCACTAGTTTTAGACTAAAGTCCACTAATAGTAATATGGAGGAATTTAGCAAGTCTAGACTTGAAATAAATAGACAGTTATAAAACAATTAAAATACATAACAGAGAAAGAAGGGAAAATAAACCAGAAATCAGAATTAAATAAAAACAAAACCAGAATTTAATAAAAACACAAAAACCAGAATTTAATAAAAACACAAAAATCAGAATAAAATAAAAACAAAAACAGAATTTAATTCAAAAATCAGAATTTAATAAAAACAAAACCAGAATTTAATTCAAATCAGAATTTAATAAAAACACAAAAATCAGAATTTAATAAAACCAAGACCAGAAAAACTCATCTAGTTTTAAGAAAAACATTGAAGACTAAACAAACAAACACCCAAACATATATTTGAAAATAAGAAAAACATCATAAAAACTAAAAACATTTATAAAAACATCACAACATCCTTCTAAAAAATAAAAACACACAAAACAAAACTTGTCTGTGTTTTGTTTTGCGGTTGACCTGCTTTTTCCACTTCCTCTTTACAGCTTTTTTTCTCAACAAATTAAGTGTACTAATTCATTTTTTTATTTTATTTTTTCGCGTCGCAATTTAACAAAAATAAGAACGGATGCCCTCATTTTTTTAACCAAAAAAGCCGCTCTTAAAAATAAAAGAAAAATCAAAAAATCCATTTCAGCCGTTTTTTCTTTACAATTTTAAAAGAAAAGAATTGAAAAAAAATTTTTTTGATGGATGGAAAAATAAAAAAGGAAAAAATAAAAGAAAATAAAAATTGGGGGAAAAGCTTGTTGTTTAAAAAAACTGGTTATTAATACCAAGCTGTTTTTTAACAAAAACATTCAAAAAGTGCAAAGTTAGGAGGGAGAATGATGGATTGTTTGAGACAACAAAACGTAAAAACATTTAATATTTTAGAAAAACATTAAAATAATGTTTTTAGAAATCAGAATAAACAGTTTAAAAATAATTATAAAAATCAGAATTTTATAAAAACATCAAAGAAAAACACAGCAGAAGGATCACAAACAGATCAGAATTAAATAAAAACACAAAATACGAAAAACACGAAAAATATTCTGGTTTAGAAATAAAAATTAAAAATAATTAAATCAATTTCAAGGAAAAATAAATTCAAAAAATAGTAAAAAATATTTAATTTATTATTTGACAAAAACTTTACAAAAACAAAAATAATCCTCAACTAATAATAATAGATTTAAGTAATAAAAACACCATGGCACAAAATGCTCTGGCAAGAAAAACAACAAAAACAAACTTTTGAGTGTTACTAAAAATACACATCCATTTGTTTTAAATGTTTAGAAACACACAAACAAACAAATTTAGCATTATTACTAAATGACATTTAAAACCAGAATAGATGTTGTAGATGTTCTGATAAATAGATTTCTAATTCAAAATAGATGTTCTGACAAAGACAAAACAAATCAAACAAAACATTAAAACAAATCAGAACATCAATTAAACAAAACATTTGTAAAACTAAAAGAAACCAAAACAAACAAGAAACATTAGGCAACACAAATTAAACATTAAAACAAACAAAACCAGAACATCTCATAAACAACACATTTTTAAATAAACAACAACATTAAACATAAAACAATCAAGAAAAACAATCAAACATATTTAAAAATCAGAACAAACATCTTAAAAATTATTATAAATCAGAATTTTACAAAAACATCAAATAAAAACACGGCAGAAAGAGCACAAACAAATCAGAATTAAATAAAAACAACAAAACAACAAAACAAACTGGTAAAACACAACAGGTGAAACAAAGTTTCTAATTTTTTCAGAATAAATTAAAATTTAAAAGTTTAAAAGAAAAGGTAGCAGCAAAAAGCTCGTCACACAAACAAAATTTTTTCAACTAAATAAACAATAAAAAAATTATTTTTTAAACAAAAAACTACTCTATTAATATATACCATATATTCACACACAAAAAAAAGGAAGTTTTTTAAATAATAGAGAGGAAAAAAATATTTTTTTCCCTCTCAAAAACAAAAAAGACCACCCAAATAGTGTCAAAAAAGTGTAAACATACACACACAACTCTTTTATAAAAATATTTTTGAGTTAAAAAACTAGCTAGGTAAGTAGTACATATCTAAAAAATAGATGAAGCAAAAAGTACATATCGAGAGCGGGGAAAAGGATTTTTAAGAAAAAATTACTGGTATAGAATTTTAAAAAGAAAAAAGGGGTGTAAAGAAGAAACAAATAATTAAACAATGTTTTTGTAGGTATAAATAAATTAATAAAAATCAGAATTATTTACAAACAAATTTCTGAATTTTTTGGAAAACAAATAGGAAGAAATCAGAATTTGTTTGAAAAAAATCAGAATTTGTTTGAGAGACAAACCAGAATTGTTTAGGAAAAAATCAGAATTTTATAGAAACAAATTGGAAAACAAATCAGACTTGTTTGGAAAAACAAATGGGAAAACACCAAAACATTTGTTTGAAAAACATCATAATTGTTTGGAAAAAAATCAGAATTTTTTAAAAACAAAATAGAGAAACAAATCAAAAAATCAGAATTTTTTAAAAACAAAATAGAGAAACAAATCAGAATTTGTTCGGCAAACATCAGAATTGTTCGGAAACATCGAACCAGAATTTAAAAAACCCCCCCCCCCCCAACAAACACAAACACACACAAACTCAAAACATTTATAAATATTATACTTGGGGGTTACTAGCTGTTACAAACATTAAAAAAGTACTATTAAGCAAGTAGGAGACCACACGCATGTAAAAAATAAAAGTAAAAATGGACAAAAAAAGCCTCGACTGAAAAAAAGGAAATAGAGGAAATTGAGGAAGGAAAAAGAATTTAGAAAAAAAAAGACAAAAAGGTGACCAAATAAAGAAAAAAAATATTTAAATATATTAATATGCCTCTAGTAAAAATATGACGAGTTTTTGTTTTAAAAAAAATTCGGAAAGGTTAAAAATATTTAAAAAAAATTTGAGAAAAAAAAATAATTTTTTAAAGTAATTTTGAAAAAATTTAAACTAACACTGCCATAGTCCTTTTGCACAACTTTTATACCACACCAGATTCATCTTCTTCTTCTTCTTCGTCCACCCCTGTTGTTTTCATGTTTTTAGCTCACAAAAAAATAAATAAAATTTTTGAAGAAATCGAAGAAATTAAAAACATTTTTTGAATAAATTTAATAATTAAGCAGCTAAAAAGTAAAAAAAATTTCAAACAAAAGTCACACACGCTTAAATGACCCCGATGTCCACAAACAGACAAAGTCCAACCAACAACAGGAGAAAAAATTAATAAAAAAAATTTTTTAAGACCCCCAATAGAGTCTCAAAAAGCTGTAAACTTTAAATCAATTAGAGTCCTAAACTAAAAAATTTTTGAGAACCAGTAGAGTCCCATAATCCTCTCATCGGGTACAGCCCATTTAGGCGCGCGGCCATAACGGCGCAAAGCCATAACTTGCTTCAAGATTTTCGAATCTTATCAAATTTAGTATCAAACGATTCCTCTCATCGAGCTAAAGAGATTGGTACAAAAATTTATAATGGGCAGACATTTTCTAGCAAGTTAAGGCTTTGCGTCGTTATGCTCGGCCTCTTATCAATTAGAGTCCCAAAACTAAAAAAAATTTTTTTGACTCCACTAGAGTCTGCAGAATTTTAAAGCCACAAAAAGTCCTCAAAAAATAAAAAAAAAATATTTAAAAAGTAATTTTAAAAAATACTCTATTAAAAAAATTAAAAATCTCATTCATTAAAAGTTTATTCATATCAACAAATATTATTAAAAAAATATATTTTATATTTTTTAAATTCTTCATTTAAAGATCGTGTTTTTCTTGTTGTTGTTTTGGTTGATGTTCTTCAGTTTTGTTTTTAAAAGGCAGAAGGAAGAAGAAGGTCTAATTATATTTAATGTTGTTGTTGTTATTTTTTTGGTGGTGAGGGGATGTGTGCTCCTTTTTATTTTGTAATTTCTCGAGCCTGGTTTTTATGGAAAAGTACAAAAAAAATAATAAAAGAAACAAAATTCTACAAATTTTCTAGTTTATATAAATCGAAGAGAGGGTTATCGGTTCTTCATCAATCCTTCTAGTATTCACTTCCAAATATTCGAAAAGAGAGATTTTCCCCAAAAACCAATAACCCTCTCCCTACTAATAACTACCAGGGCTGTGCGCCAAAATTTTCGCGTGGCGCGCCAAACGCCAAACGCCAATTTTTTAAATTTTAAAAACACGCCAAACGCCAAACGCCAAAAATCGGCCAAAATCAACGCCAAAACGCCAAACGCCAAACGCCAAAATTTTTAGAGTCTATAAAGACATAAAAACCACTGTTCATCTCATTTTAGCGCCGCAGGCGAAATTTTTTTAATTTTCAAGATTCCCAGAAGCCAGAATTCATCCTTTTTTACCGCCGGAACGAAATTTTTGAGAATTTTGGAGGCAAAGAAGCCGAAATTCATCCTTTAAAAAATTTTAAAAAATAAGAAATTTATAGAACTCCTTGAGATTAAGGTGGATATGAAGGGATAAAGGGAGTAATGAGTATAACAGAGGTCATGAAGAGAGTAAACGATTGACGGGACTAAAGTTTTTTTTCTACCATCTATTAGTTTAAGATAAGGGCTTCCTCCTTTAAGCGCCGCAGGCGAAAATTTTTAAAATTTTGGAAGTCCAAGCAGTAGATTTCTTCATTTTTTATGCGCCGCAGGCAAAAATTTTGAGAATTTTGGATGACTGTACGCAGAAAAATTTCCTTTTTCGATCATCCCTTTCTCCATTTATTTAAAAAAATTCCATCATTAGGGGTGTATATTTTTGGCGTTTGGCGCGCCAAAATCGGAAAATCACGCCAAACGCAAAACGCCAAAAATCGGCCAAAATTAACGCCAAAACGCAAAACGCCAAACGCCATGACGCACAGCCCTGATAACTACAACTATTTTATACATTCAAACCTCGCGCAATAAAATACATACATCAACATGCTAACAATTTTTGTAGGTCTCAAAATGAGAGCTTTCTTAAAACGAAAAAATTTTTAAGGAACGTTAAGCCACGAAAAACTTTTAGAACCGCGGAAAATTTTTTTGAAAATTTTTGAGTTTGGAACAGCATATCAACAGCATTCTTCAGTATTTTATAGTAGCGAGATTTGATTGTATGATAAAATCACAAGGAATTTCAACATTTATAAAAAAAATTTGAGATATTAAATTTTCTGTTTTTAGTAAAAAAATTCAAAAACAACCATGTTGAAATTCCCCATGTGATAAAAAAAAAGTAAAAAAAGATAGAGAGAGAGAACATTTTCATTTTGTTTTTGCTTTTCAACTTTTGAGAGATCAGCAAGGCACTTTAGATCGAAAAATTACAAAACCTTCGTGTGGCACATTAAGAAAAAAGGGAAAGAAAGGGGGGGGGAACTATGAATTGAAGACAAAAAATTTTTTCTGGACCAAATTAAGCAAAAAAAATTCCGTTTTTCAAAGAATTTTTAAAAATTTTTTGTGACTTCAATTCTTGGCTTAAGAAAAAAATGGATAAAATAATAATAATTGAGATGCTTTCGCTTTATAATTATATATATTTTTTTAATTAATTTATATATGAATATCGCAGAAATTTTTTAATGAGAGAGATAAAGTAAAGGAAGGGATGAGAACGCAAAAGCTTATATAAAAATAGGGGTTTTCTCTTCAATTCGGAACCAAAACTTTTTTTCCTCTCGTTTTGGATATCGAAAAACTTGGTAATATTGAAACCAGAAAACCCTATTTATATAAAAATAATTATTGAATTACTTATAAAAAGAGAAAGGGTCAATTTTGAGAACAAAAACAGAATTATATAAAAATTTAAATATTTTATTTAAAAGGGAATTAGAAATTTAAAAAAAAAAGCCTTGATCCCGATCCTTAATTTTTTAAGCGACACCTTAAACAAATTAATTTTAGCCCCGAAACAAAAAAAAAGTTAAGGACAAATAATAGGAAAACCCTATCTGAAAAAATGACACCAGAAAAATGACACTTAAATTTCAGCTCTTGGTCCATGAAAAAAAATATTAAAGTTAGAAAAGAGGACTCTGTTAAAAATCAAAATAACTCTTAGTAGCCCAATAAAAATGAAAAAAAATTAATTAAAGGTTCAAGATCAAAGCTTTGTTTTTCTCTACTACGGGAACATTTATAAAAAAAATAAACCTTTCACAATTTTTCAATAATATTTTTAGTCAGTTAAATATTACCAGTTGATAATAAACCTTTTTTAAGTCTTGTAGTTGTTGTTGTTGCTGTAAATTTTGTTCGAGTCATTTCCCCACCACCAACTAAAAGACAAGTCAAATCATCATCCTCCTCATCAAACGAAGAAGTAGAAGAAAATGATAAAGAATTTTTTATTGAATTTTTGAAAGGTTTGTGTTGTTCATCTCCTCCTTCACCTCCTTCAAGCGATAAAACTAGTTGATTACAATTTTGACGTAAAGGTTGGTATGCAATTACACGTTGTTGTAATTCTTCATTATCATCTGGATGTTCACTTTATTTAAAAAAATATTTTGAGATTATTTTATTGAAAAAATTTTTTTTCTTAATGATCAACGACAAAATAAATGACAAAAAATTTTTTTTAAATTTGGGGAGCATCGATAGATAAATTTTAAATCTTTTAGAGATTTTCTCTCATGACCAGTAGGTACCCAAAACCCAATAGCCTACCCAATATCCACTCAAAATTTTTCAAAAAAAATTCTTTTGAATTGGGAGAAGAAGGGGTGGGGGAAGAGGAGGCATCGAGAGAAAAATTAAATCTTCTCGAGATATTCTCCCATGAACAGTGGACTACCCAAAACTTTCAAAAAAAAATTTTTGAAAATTGGTCAAAAATTAAAAAAAAAAATCTAAAAAAATACCATAACAATTTATAAGAAGCCCACAAAGCTACTGTTGACGCCACCAAAATTAATAAAAAAGCCATTCGATATGGAGCCCATTCATCCATTAATTCTTCCTCCTCTTTTTGTTGTTTTGAAGCAGCAACAACAGCAGCAACACCAAAATTTGTTTTATGGCTAATTAAACGAAGAGAAGATGGTGATGAACAAAAAGTAAATGATAATAATTGACTGATGGAAAAGAAGAATATTATTGATAAAATTGGTGTCAAGGTCATCTGAAAAGTAAAAATAAATTAATTAAAAATCACCACAACATGAACCTATGGACTTAAAGAACCAACATAAAAAAAAATTATAAATTTATTTCAGAAAATAAACAAATTAAACCCCTCAGAATCTAAAATCTCATGTCAACAAACCTAAAAAAACAAACCCCCCACTTGAAAAATTATTAAAAAAAACCTCCAAAATAACCCACAAGAACCCCCAAAACCCCAAATCAAAAAAAAATATTTTTTTTTATTTTTAAAAAATTATAGTACTAATCCAAAAACTTAAAGAACCAAACATTAAAAATTTTTACAACACAATTAAACCCCCCCCCCCTTTCCAAAAAAAATTCAAAAAAATTTTTTTCAGAAAATTAATAACCTAAACCCTAAGAATCTAAAATTCAACCAACATAAAAAATCAAATCCCAATTGAAAATTATAAAAAAAAATAAAAAAAATTAAAAAAACCAAACCTAGGAAAAAAAGCTTTTTTGCTTCACTTTCGCAATAATAAAATATAATTGTTGAATATATTGATTTAGTCTGATGTAGTAATGTGTATATGGCGGCAGCGGCGTGCCATTAGCCTAGCCCCACAAGCATACAAAAAATTGGATAAATAAGTTTTCTAAATTTTCATTCTTGTGGTAGTTTTCCTAAAAAAATTTTTTTTAAAGAAATCATTAATAAAAGAAAAATATAGATGATTAGACAGATTTTTAGACTGATTGTGACATTTTACAAAAGAAAAAATTTTTCTAAAAAATTTTTTTGAAGACCGACATTTATGGCTGATTTTTCAAAAGAAGAAAAAAATTTTTTCAGAAATTTTCTTTAAAACCCCTACAAAAATTAAATTAAAATCATAAAAATACACACACACACATACAGTAGTCGACATAAAGATAGGGACAAGAGTAATTTAAATTTAAATTCTTAATTTTTCATTCAAAAAATACGTTCTATATATCAATCGAAAGCTCTATTCGTATCTCAGTTGACATGTTTCTGCATTTTTCATGAAATCGAAAATTGGTCGAGATAATCCGGATCTACCGGATATACCAAATCCCATATCCTCGGAAAAATTTTTCTGAAAAAATTTGACAAACCCATTTGATAAAGCATATTTTTGTGAGTATTTTCCACAAAACCGCTTAAAAATATCTTTGTCCGGTCTAGAGATATGATTTTTTGAAAATCGCATTTTTCCCTTAAAAATTGAATTTTTTGCAAAAATTGACGAAAAATGCGATTTTCAAAAAATCATATCTCTGGACCGGACAAAGATATTTTTAAGCGGTTTTGTGGAAAATACTCACAAAAATATGCTTTATCAAATGGGTTTGTCAAATTTTTTCAGAAAAATTTTTCCGAGGATATGGGATTTGGTATATCCGGTAGATCCGGATTATCTCGACCAATTTTCGATTTCATGAAAAATGCAGAAACATGTCAACTGAGATACGAATAGAGCTTTCGATTGATATATAGAACGTATTTTTTGAATGAAAAATTAAGAATTTAAATTTAAATTACTCTTGTCCCTATCTTTATGTCGACGACTGTATTTAATAAAAAGACAAATAAAGAAGAAAAATAAATATAAAAATAATAAAATAATGAAAAATAAATACGAGAAATGGGCGAGAAAAATAAAAAATATTTTTGTTCATTTTTACAAACAAAATTGATCATTAAACCCACAAGTAGAAGAGCAGCAGCACTACTATTTTTCTTTACTATTAGTTAAACGCTTTTATATTTAAAACGTTATATTAGTTTTATTCACCACCAAGTCTCCTATAATTGCTCTGATAAATAATTAATGTGTGTGTGTGTGTAACGAGAAAAAAAATTTTTTACGAGAAAACACACCCAACACAACCACAATTAAAGAATCTTAAAACAGAGAAAATTAATTTTTTACTATCAAACAGAGCACTTTTACACGTTTAAAATAAAAACAAATTTAGAAAATAGTAAAAAGAAAAGTGTGATGCTATGTTAGATATTTATTTTTATTATCACATTTTATCAACACAAGAATCAAACAAAAAAATAATCAAAAAAACACACCAATTTTTAAAGAATCTTAAAACAGAGAGAAAATTAATTTTTTAAATGAAAATGTCGAATATTAAAATGAAAATAAAAGAAAATGCTTTTAAATATTTAATAGACAGGAGGAGATATTGCACAAGTATAAACACACTAATAATAAATATTTTTAAATACACACAAACACACACATTTATTCGCTCACATATTTATAAGCGGATTAGTATTTTAATTGTGAATTAGTTTAGTCAGTGGTTAGTAGTATTTGTTGTTATTAAATAGAATATTTATGAAGAAGGGAGGAAGAAGACTAATTTCCGATTATTACATAAAAATATTATTATTTTTTATAAAAAAACAGGAAAAAAAAGATTAAAATATTTTTAAAAGGAATGATAAATAGATAAAGAAATGTCATCTTAAAAATTTTTTTGAAGAAAAAAAATTTTTTTGAAAGAAAAAATAGGCTAAAGAAGGACTTTAGATGAGTGAATCAACAATAAAAAAAAAGGTCAAAGAGACTTTAACAAAATTCTGATTTAAAAAAATATTCTAAAGACACCTTTAAAATAGAAAATCAGGAAGGAATTGTGAAAGATTTTTAAAAAAAAATTACATTCTAGGCCTTTAGACGAGTAAACTATTTTTTTGATAAAGAAGAATATTTTTGAAGACCTTAAAGATTTCACAAAATAATTATTTTTAATAATAAAAGCGATTTTGAAGAAGCATGCGTTTTCCTAATTTTGTATAAAATCTCACAGCAAAATTATTAAAAAAAATTTAAATAGCTTTTTAAAAATAAAAATGATTAAACAGCTACCTAATAGACAATTTTTAAAAAATAGTGACTGGCTGATTGACTGGCTAAATTGAAGTTTAGACAAACAAAAAAATTTTTTTTTGGTTTCGTAAGAGAGAAAAAGCATTTTTAGAGAGACGAGGTTTGTAAAAAATAAATAGAAAAATAAAAATATTTACATAAATAAATAGAAAAAAATAAATAAATATAAACACACACACAACAACAGCCACGCTTTCTAAAAAATAGAAAAAAAGTCGCCGTGTATAATGCCTTACTAACACCACCAGCATCACCACCTATCTCCCCCACAGCCTATATTTTTTTTAGCAAAAAAAGGTTAACAGCTAAAAAAAAAGCTTATGCTTTAAGAGTTTAAAAAGAGTGGCACGTCAAAATCTGACAATGAGAGGTGAAAAAATTTTTGCAAAAAATTTTGTTTGAAAAGGCAAATTTTATGTAAAGACTTAAAGAAGATTCACAAGTTTTTCTGTAAAGATTAAAAAATGTTAACAAAGAGAATCGGAGCAAAAGCATAGATTCAAAAATTACAAGAATTCTAAAGGACCTCAAAAAAATTTTTCAAGAAAACATTTTTTTCAAGATTTTTTCAATTAGAAAACCCAAAGGCTGTTATCACTCACTCCGCTCCTCATTCTTCATCATCACTTCAAAAATTGTAGCAAAAATAAAATAAATTCACACACCCACAAAACACTCAAAAAGCTAAAATATTTTTCTCTGTAACCTACAAATATATTTATTTTCGCACACTACTACACACACATACACAAATACATTCGTCCAATATATTCCAATCTCTTCAAATTTTTTCTTCATTCAATATTGATTCTGTTTTATAGCGACAAACGACACACAAAGTTATTCTCCGAAAGAAGAAGAAACGAAGAAGAAAAAATAACCAAAGTAGAGTGCGAATTATTATTTTTAGCTTTTTACAAGAAATTTATTTGCTTTTAAAGCTGACTTTTTAAGCTTTGCGCGCGAAATTTTCAAGTAGAAAAATATCTAGTAAGAATATTTTTTAAGAAAAAGCAAGGACATTGTTTTTTCTGTTCATTTGTTAATGTAAATTGGAAGAAAAATAATTTTTAAAAATTATTTTTTAAAGTGGGAAAAAATAATTTTTGAAGGTAGATAGATAAAAGAAAAAAATGGATAATTAAAGATATGGATGATTTAAATGGTTAAATTAAAATTATAAAATGGCTGATTAAAAGGAGAAAATTGATTAGAAGACAAAGAAAAACATGAAGACAACAGAAAAAAATTTTTTTGGAAAGCAAAACTTTGTTGAAAAGCAAAACCTTCAAGAAAATTCACAAAATACGTTTAAAAAAAAAGCAAAAAAAACTTAATCAGTCAAAAGTCGTTCAGAAAAAAAAACAAAAATCTCTCAACATTGAAGAATTCCAAACACACAAACAATTAGTTCAATTAAACTTTCAAAGAAAATGACAAGAAAAGAAACGAGTGTATCGGTCAACAAGTTGTTGGTAGAAGAGTAAGAAAATAGTCCTTTTCCCGTTCATTTCACTCCCAGCAGCAGAAACTACCACACGAAGGAATTTATATTCACAAATATATTGGAAGGAAGAAAATAGAGCAAAATAGAAAATATTTTTCTCTCTTAAATATTAGTAGAGAAAACAAAAAGAGCAAAAGAAAATTAAAAAAAAACTTTCCGGAAGTGTGATGATTAATAATGAGAAAAAATCTCGAGAAAATAAAGAGGAAAAATATGAGAAGAATATTAAAAAACTAGAGGAATTTTAAGTTTAAAATTTTTTTTATTTTTTCTTTATCTTTTGCTCACCTAATTAACATTATTAAAAAATAATAAATTACAAAAAAAAATATAAACCTGTTAAAACCTCAGCAAAAAAACAAAACCCATCACCAAGCAAAAATTAGAAGAATTATAGTAGTAAAACCATCACCAGCAAATTTATTTTGATTTTGTTTTTCCCACCACCAAATATTTATTTTTGTCTTCCCTTTTAGTTTCTCTTCACCCTTCCATCTTCATTATTAAATTTTCCAATTTCTTCTCAAAAAAGTCTACAATTTCTTTTCGATTTTTTACTTCTTCCATATTCATCTTCATTTTTTCAAAACTTTTTTGTTGAGGAAACTCCACAAAATTTATTCGAAATTCACTACAAACTTGTTTAAGAAGCCAAGGAGAAAACAAATTTGAACAAATATTCTTCTTCAAATTTGCCGGCCCGCCTTCCCCCAAAAATTTTTCGTCCTCTAAAAATTTAAAAAAATGAATCCTTTTCTCCCTTAATTTTTATAAAAAAACCTTTCTCCTTTTGAAAAAACACCAAATGACTTGGCCAATTCTCAAAAATTTCTTTTTCAATTTTATCATCATTAAACTCTTCAGAAGGCATTTTAGACCAAGCAAATTTTGTATTTTCATTTAAAATGGAACAATCATTTTGAAGAGAAGACAACGATTGAATTGCTTGTTGTTTTTGTTGTTCTTCCAATTTAACATTTGAAAATAAAAGTAAACGAGTAAAAGTAAAAATCTGAAAAATAAATGAAAAAAGTTTGTTAAAATGTTCCAAAAAAGCTCGGTTAAACTTTAGCCAGTGTGGACAGTTCCGAAAAAACAATTCTTTCTCACCTTATGAGAAAGAACCTTAGAATTAACCTTTCTCCGATATTTAAATATTTAGAGACCTAAAAATGAGCTTGGTCCCCCCTATAGTTTTGTGACGTTAGAAGGACTGTATCTCGACCCAAAGACAATTCCGTTATTAGAGAAGGGGACCAGTCAACTCAACTTGACGAGTCAAAGGGCGACCCACACACAATTCGGGCATTAGTGAGAAGTACCAGTCGACTCATTGTCAGCTTAACGAGCCTAAGTGTAAGGATATATAAACCAAGATTTTGGAACTGGCACTCAAGTAAAGTAGACCAAAAAATAAAAAAAATAACCTCTTCATCTCCATCAATTCTTCCAAGTTCGAAAAAATTTATTTCCGACTTTTCCTCACTTTTAAGACCTGACAAACATTCAAACTCCAAAAATACATTTCGATTACAAATCAATCCAGTTGTCTCCCCAATAAGTCCAATTTGTATATTCATCTTGTAGCTAACAGCAAAAGCATGACATAAAGCGTGAAGAGAAGAAAAACGAGCAGATTTTTCTGTTTTACATTGAACAATTGGATGAAGAGGTAGACAAATATCTGCAAGAAAAAATTAGTTAAAAATTGAATATAAAAATAGTGCAAGAAAAATAATAACACCCCCAAAAGGATTTGAACCTTCAACCTATAAGAAGAGATGTTGTGAGGGAGGAATTGGAAAGTTACCCAACGAAACCAAAAGACACCCAACATCCAAAAATATGAAAAAAATATGTTCCTGAACATGTTAACCAGAGCTGCCGGCCCGAATCAGTTCGAAAGATCAAACGGGCCTCGAATTTTGGCCCAAAAGACTCGACCGGTCCGGCCCGATAAAAATAAAGCCCAAAAAAATGACTCGAACGTGGCGCGGTTCGGAAACGGCAACACTACTGTTAATCCTAAAATCAACGGCTTCACGTGGACAATTTTTTTCACAAAAAAGGATTATGAACAAGATTAAATTAACCCTATTCCCTACAGTCTCCCCAAAAGTTTCAGCATAAGGCAATGAATAAATTTGGACGAATTGGAGGAATAGGGAGATGGGGCTCTCCATAGCTATATAAACACAGATGGCGAAACAGAGGTGAATAATAAAATAAAAAAATAATAAAAATACCAAGATGCGGAAGAAGAAACTCCTCCTTCACAGTACCAAAAGAATGGAAGAGAACAACAATTGAAGGAATTGCACTAGTTTGCCTAAAACAGTCAAGCAGCGAACACAACGATGTTAGGAATGAATGGGTCTTTGAGGCGATAGAGTGAGATTTTAGGCCTTGTTTGTTTTCCTCGTCAGCAATGTTGCTTTCATCGTCTATTATGACAAAAACTGAGCGAATCTGTAAAAATATTTTTGAATACTGATTAAGGTGAGTAAAGAACTAAAGGGAGCTAATAAACTAAAGTACCCGGTCTTGAATCCTATCGACTGAGAAACCGGAGACAACTAGCGGGCCGTCCCCGGAACCTGAAGTACCAGGCCTTGAATCTTATCCCACAAAGGGAACCAGAGAGGACAAGCGGGCCAAATACGGACAATGAAGTACCCGGTCTTGAACCTTATCTAACAGAGAAACCAGAGAAGACAAATAGGCCGTCCCCGGATCTGAAGTACATGGTCATGAATCATATGGCAAAAACTAACCAGAAACAAACAGGGAAGACAACGGCCCGTCCACGGAACCTGAAGTAACACGGTCTTGAATCTTATGGCATAAGGCTAACCAGAGAAGACAAACAAGCCAATCCCGAAAGCTTTTATGAACCCTAGACAATACCCATCTTAAATCACAAACCTCATAAACCTCGACAACTCTCTTAACAATCTTTTGAGAATTACAAGAGCCAAACAGAATATTGAGTTGACCTCCTTCAAGATAAGGTTTCAACGATTTTGAAATCTTCGTCCCATCTTTCGGCGAAACCAAAGCAAAAAGTTGTCTGTTCTCATTAGTAGATCGATCAGCTTTGAGCAAATGAAGAGCAAAACTGGTAGCAAATTGATTAGTAGAATTTAAGGTTGGAGTAATTAGGAGAGTAGTCATTTTAGTAATTAAAAGAGGTTAATGCTAAAATCTGAAAAAGTAAGTAATTAAAAATGCAAAAGTTAAAAATCAATCAAAGATGATGAAAAGGAAGGAAATACTCGCAAAATTAACGTAAATGATCTCGATCGGAGTTAAAAAAACGGGTCAAGGTAAGCGAAGAAAAAGTTGTTGAAGATGAATTTGCGTAAGACTCAAATGGTGAAAGACTCAAATGTACCTAATTTAAATGGGATGAATTGACAATAAACAGAATGCCAAAAATAAAATCGATAAAAACACGAGAGACGTTCAAGTATCGAAAATCAATAATCACCCCTCTAGCCTTCTACAGGCTTTTCCCCATAAAACTTCCCCCCTTCCCCAATCAACCAAAAACCTCCAAAAACTGATTCCATCCATTGAAGCACATTCAGCTTTGTCCATACCATCCATACCACTAGTTGAGCTAAAACTTTCAAAAATTTCTTTAAATCATGAAAAATTGGAAAAAAAACAAAGACAAAAGACAAGGACAAAAAAACAAAGAAAATGAAGGGCGAAGTGGGGGCATTCGCTCGCGCATTTTTAGCAAGCAATTTTTCGTTTTAAAAATTTGAAGATTTACCGGGCCAAGAGTTGATCAGGAGGACCATGTAGACGAGAAGGAGCATGTAGACGAGCCACCACCAGTGCATGGAGTAGAACGGACCTGTCTGAAAATCACCCCCTCCCATTATAAATTTTATTATTTTAATTTTTTTAATAAAAAAACCACACCCCAACCATATTCCAACATCACATCAGCAGGCAACCAAGAGCATGAAGAGAGCCACCAACCACTAAGAGCATGACGAGAGCCACCAACCACCAAGAGCATGACGAGAGCCACCAAGCCACCACCATCACAAGCATAACTTTTTTAAAAAAAATAAAAAAAAATTTTTTAATAAAAAAAACAGGCCCCCAGACCACCACCATGAAGACCATAGGCATATTCTCCAAAGGCCACCACATGAAGAACAAACATAAAAATAAAAAAATTTCATTTTTAAATTTAAAAATTTCAAATAAACTAGGAAAAAACCCACCGTTTGGTTGAAGCCATCCAGTTGAGGCCATCCAGCCAAGGCCACCACACAGGGCCACCATGTAGAGCACGGTAGAAGACGCCTAACATATTAAAAAATTTTAAACTCAAATTAAAAAAAGGGCAAAAAAAACAAATTTAACCGGCCAGCCATCCAGCAGAAGCAGGTCCATGTCGGGACTGGCCTTCAATTAAAAAAAATTTAGACTTTTTAAAAATTTTAAAAATTTATTTTTAGCAATTTTAAGCGCGCGCAGCAATGGGGTCAACGAATAACGAATAAAAAAAATAAAAAAAAACAGATGAGATAATAGAAAAAATGAAAAAAAACACCAAAAACGCGTAATCTCCGGAGATTAACAGAAATCTGTGAAAATCCAGATTTCAGAAAAAAAGTGACGCCAACTAAATTTGAACGGAAAATTAACGCAATTCGTTATGTTAATTTTCATTTGGTAAATGTCAAAGTGTAAACTAGTTGATATTTTGTCGATAACTCGAAAAAGATGAGGAAAATCGGTATTTTAAGGCCTTCGGAATTTTAAAAATCTTTGGTTAGGAAAAATTGAAATAAATTTATTCTGAAAGATATACCAATCAGGAATGCTGGGAGAACTTGGAACATCCCCAAAAGTCCCCAACTCAGACTTGGAAAGTCCCCACTCAAACTGTGAAAGAATCCCCTAAAACTCCCCAAAAATTCCCGCTTATACAGAATTTCTGCTTGAATTGACTCAACTTATTACAACGCTTCTTTAAAAATTTTTTTTATTTAAAAATTAAAAATTTATAAAACAATTTCTTCCAAAAAATCAAAATTATCTCAAAAGAATCTTCTTTCTAAAAATGTACATCTTCTTGGTCTTGCCGGAAACAACTTCCCTTGCTTGTCAAGCTTGTCTAGGGCCAATTGCAAATGTCGAGGTGTTAAAGGCTCTGAGGATGTTGAAGCTTCTTTGTTGGTTTCACGCTCGGCTTTTTGGATGTCTAGTGCTGAAAATAAGAGAATTTTTTAATTCGAAAAATTCTTATGACAATGACAAGGATATTTTTCCCTAAAGAATGTTCCTCTACCAGATAATTCCCCAGAATATTAGGAAGTTATCCAAGAACCCATGTCCGTTTGTTTTTTCATTGAAAGCACGGAGGTAGATATAAGAAAAATCTACGTGGCCCACTAATCTCCTATCCTATTTTGTCTAAAAAAAGTTCACCAAGACTGGCGGAACCCAGTAGACAATAAAAAGCCCATTACTCCAAGGAAACCCGAAAAACCATGTCCCGTTTGTTTTAGCTTCGTTGGAAGGTCAGAGGCAGGCATAAGGAAGAATAAATGTCAAGCCGGAAAAGTTCATTGAGAGACTGGCGGAACTCAAAGACCCTTTCAATGACCCACTTGAAAGGTTCGATGAGATTGGTGGGACCAAAAAAATCAGAAAAAAATAAAAATAACCTTCTTCAATCAACTCTCCAGTGAACACCTTCGCCATACCCGCAATCGCAATGACCACGTTTTGTCCAACAGAAACACCAGCAAATTGGCTAATCAACTAAAATATTTAATTTTTAAATTTGAAAGATAAAAGAAACCCGTCGAATTGCCGATTTGGGAAAACTGGCACGTCTCATCGTTTCATAACGTTCAAGCTGTTCTTGGGTAAAATTGGCGAGAAGGATTCTAAAAAGGAGAAGAAATAAGAGAAAAACGAGTCCTCCTTGGAAACCTACACCCTGAAGACTTACATCCTCAGTGTCTATTGACCCTGAAGACCATAAACCTTTGAAAGAGAATATCGAGGGATGTGGTGGTATTCAAGGGGATAGGATTGAAGGGGAGAGAGACTCGCCCAAAGTTAAGGTACACGCTCATAACAGGATCCTAGGTTCAAAAATATAGAACTGGATCATAGAGGTAGGAACTTTTCCACCTTAACCCTCGATAACCTTTTAAAAGTGAAGTCTTTCGGGTGTGGGTCTTCCGAGCGTAGGGCTTAAGGGTGTAGGTCCAAAAGGGGGATGCCCCCTAAAAAATAATTTAAAAAATAAAAAAAAACAAACTGCAATTTAAGCCGTGCCAATTCATCCTCTTCATTAATCTTTTTAGGAGGCAATAAATCATCTTCCTCCTCCAAACTTTTTCTTTGTTTGCTTGTTGACGGCATCAATTGCTTCAATATTTCTTCACATTTTTCAGCGTTGTCTACGTCGTCCTTTTTTGCCGATTTTTCCTCTTCAATTGAATGAACAGATGCTGGTTGTTGTTCTAGTGGTGGTTGAATTTGGATGTCGGAAGGTTGGGGGACCTAAAAATTAATTTTGATTAAAGATTTCATCAGTTAAATTTATTCCCACAATCAACAACTTGATTGGAATTTAAAAAATAAGGCTCTTGGATAGATAGTGAGAACCATCCAAAAGGGTTGGACCTCCGCTTAGAGTCACTCTTAGTGAAAATAACGAGTCAGATCCTTCTTGAGAAACCTCCAAAGACCAATTTAAATCGTCAGTTAATCAGAAGAAACTAGGGAAACTCCCGGAGAAGAAAGAAGAAACTATCAACCACTATGGAACCGAGGCCTCTCTCAAATCCCAATTTTGTGAAACCCCTTCCTATCCCCTTGACTCGATCGTTGTCCTGCCTAAATCTGACAGTTTACAAACAAAATTTTAAAAAATAACCTCGGATTGTAATGTTTCCGTCACAATATCCTCCAATGGATCTTCAAGAAGTCCAAAAGCTTCATCAAAGTCTACAATCTCTGCCTTCTTTGTCGTTTTGCCGTGGTGATGTTGAGAAGTTGAGGAAGATTCGCTGTCGTTTTGTTTCCGCTTCATTTTAAATTGATAGAATTTTTCAAAAAATCTCTATAAAATTTGAGGAAATTTTAAAAATTCAAAAAAATTTCAAAAAATTTCAAAAAAACCCGAAGGCATGCCTATTTTTAACATTCTCCCCTGTTGAACGTTTTGTCCTTCACAATTTTTAGATATTTTGAAAAATCCTAAAAGAGTTGACATTTTGAAATTCTCCACAAAAAGATTCTTGCTTGCAATATTTCTCTAATTTTCTCTAATTTACATACTATTTCTTCGCTTGTTGATCTCTCTTTTCTTCAGCTTATTAACTCTCCATTTTTCCGACGTTTTCCAGTTTTTCAGCATTTTCTGGCTTCCTCTTTTTTCGATTTTTTCTTCTCAATTTAGTTTCAGGTTTAATTTAATTTTTTCAGATAAAGATGTTTAATCGTTCAAAAACTTTGATGTTTCCATATGTGAAAATGCAGCCTCTCTTGAAACGTGCTGCAACCAACAAATCTTTGTATTTTTTGACTAATTTTAGAGTAAAATTAAATTTTATTTTTTACAGCTATTCGTCTTATGCAGCTTATGGAGGTCTGTTTTCTTTTAAATTTTTCTCCTTCCCGGCTAGAATTTTTATAATTAGCACAAAAGTTGGGGATAAATTGTTGAAATGAATTTACAATTTATTTATACCTTTTAAGTGCAAAATGGTTACTTTCATGAATTCACGTGCGTTCTGTAAAAATTCAAAAGAATTTTAATAGAAGGCATATTTGCAACATGTGACATCTGTACTAGGACAAGATTAGAATAAATAGCATGACTAAGTTTAATAAGTTAGGCATGGGAGAGGGTTGGTGTCCTTGGGAGGAAGGAGAGGGGCTTCCCCCGAGTTTAGCCAAGGAGGTTGTATTTTGACAATAAGGGTAAAGGCTTACGTTTTGTCAATAAGACTTGTTGGCAAAATATAGGGTTTTAGCCTTGTTGACAGAAAATTAGCTTGCTAGCAGAAAATTGGGCGAAGATGCTTATGTTAGGCTTCAGTCGGCAAAACACCTGTACATTTTAGAAAAAGCGCCTGGATCTCCTTCACTTTTTCAGCCTGCCCGGGGCTAAGCTTTTACCTCCTTACTCTATTTGACCCTATCTGTTCTGTTATTTTGATTCCAGACTCCATTGTCGCCCCGCTTGTAACGCCCTTCCCGCCATTTCTGACTCATCTTAATAATTCTCTGACTCATCCTCCCCTTATATTTTTTTTTAATTTGTAATTTAATAATTCACTTTTTCAGCTTCTCTTTTTTTGCTGACCGTTTATATTTGTGATTGGAAGCGTTTTGTTAAATTGATTCCTGTCTATAATCAGCGTTTCAAGGAGGAGGAATAATGGATGAATTGAAGGGCGTTTATTGGAAATATATTTAGTTTTGAGTTGTTTTGAATGATAATATAGGTTTTTTGTGTTAAAAATTTTTTCTATATGTAAAATTATGACTAAAAAATTTTTACTTTTTTTGATTGCTTATTTTGTTATTTTTCAATTTAATATCTGAATTTTTATTTTCGCTTATTTTATGCTTTTTTAACAGGGCGTATAAAGAGGTGGGGGAAGTGGCTTATTCCTCCCTATTTGGAAATTTATTTTGGGGGGAATTTGGAGGACTCGCCTTTACCTGATTTGACTCCTCTTTGGAGTCTATTGAATTTTTTGAGGATTTCGCTTGCTCGCCTTTACCTGATTTGACTTCTCTTGGGACTCAATACACCTCCGATCTACTCCATTTTTTTGAGGATTTTGTGGACTCCTTTACTTAAGATCCAGTCAAGCAGGGGAATTCCTCCTCGGAATCAAACATTTCCTTCTACTGGAATTTTTCTTGGGGATCTTAACGGCTTATTTCCCTTCCTAGAAATTCCTTCTTGGGATCAGACATTACCAATCTTCCTTCTCATATTCCAACCTCTTTATACGCCCTTGTTAAGACTAAACTTATTTGTTCGTTTCAGATTTAAATTAAAATTTTCTGAAAATTATTCAAAAATTATTCAAAATGTCAATTTCTGATGGATCGGTTTCAAGCGGCGGTGAATTGCCTGATATTGTTGAGGTGGTGGAGTCTGATGGAACTGATGATGGGGAGTCTACTTATGAAACGGATGGTGGGGAGTCCAATTATGAAACTGATATGGTTGATGAGTTTAATTGTGAAACGGATGAGGTTTAAACCTTTTAAATTTATTTTGGGATATTTGGGTTGGGATTGTATTGTAGGGTTGGGTTTTAGAAAATTTTGGACTTTTGGTTCCTTTGTCCTTTTTCTCTATGTTCTATTGTTTTACCTCGTACTAGCTTTCTTATAGTACCTCTGATTATAATCCCTTTTTATCAATTTAATTGCCAGGGTTAAAAAATGGGAGATAGGGAGAAGCAAATGGGACCATAAAGTTCAAAATTACTTTGGTACTTATAATTTTAAGAAAGTTTTCTTATAAGTTTATAAGAGTTCCACTTATACGTCAAAGTAACTTGATAGTTTAACGTTTCTGCTTATACCATTGTGTAAAGCAGCAGAAAAATTTTGGGTATCGGATGGGAATTCCAAATCTCATACATTCTGAGATTTTTCAGAAATGTGGAAGAGACTTTCTTGTTTTAAATCCTGATATCCTTTCATTCTTATTGATTCGGCGAATGAATGTTGATTCTTGTTTCTTTCATAATCTTATATTATTAATTTCCGCAGGCTCTGTGAAGGGGAAAGGGGTATTTTCCTCCCTGTTAAACCCTTTATTTTCCAACATAAATTACAAACAAGAGAGATGTTGGGTTCTCTTGGATCCAGCCAAAAGACGTGGAAAATCAAACAACACGTAAAGACTGACTTAACTTAACAGGGGTGGAGTATTCTGCTGGAACATACTTGATACTTCTGGCAGTTTTCCATCTTCTAACTTTCGTTAGCCCCTACTTTATCACTTACTAATGCAAGGTTCAAATTTAAATTCCTATAAAGCTTTTAAATTTATCCTTTGTCTGCCTCTGGCAACAAATGTATTATTTTGGGATTATAATAATTTATATAGAAATATAAAAGTGCTTATGAAAATATAATTAAATTAAAAATATATTAGTCACATTCAATTGAAGAATTTAAAAAATTTAAATTAACGCATCATCTTAATTCATTTGATTTCCACGGCCGCTGCAAGGCTCAATTTGTTTGGTCTTCTTGATGAAATGCCTCAATTTTGGGTGCAAAACCTGAGAACAAGGATATACATTTTTATTTATCAAATTACCAACTAATTTGATTACTTTTTTATTATGAGGTTAATCCATTCATTTTGTGTCCACAAATTCATATCCTCGCATCTTTTATTTAAATTTATAATTGTTTGTCTTGCAATCCTTTCAGCTCCGCCTGAAAAAGATTTTTAATAGTAAATAATTTTAGATATTAACTTTGTTTATGCAAAAGCTTTTACTTAATAATTCTGCAAGAATAACTAAATATTAAAATATTCATAAATCTAAAAATTTGAATAATTCATTTGGGAGTTGATTAAAAGTGAAGATTTTTGTGTTATATTTAAAGAAAAAAAACAAGAAGCATAAAAAAGAATGATTATGCTTAAATATTTATAAAATATGAATTATGTGTAACAATGATTCAAAACTTTATAGTTATAAAATGACCCTAAAGTCAAATAAATTGTAGCTTTTATATAATTTTTATACTTTTAGCTTGTGAATTAGGGTCAAGTGAGGCTCCGAAGAACACTGAAAATAAAGTAAATTGGAACAACTATATATAGGGTTGGAGGGGCGGTAAGATGATAAAACTAAAAGGAGAATAAATTTATGAAGGGCAACAATTTGAATAAGATTAAAGAGAAATGTATGAAAGTTGGAATGAGGGAATTATTTATGTAAATATATTAAGAAATGGGGCAAAATATATAAAAAAATATTTAAATCACGGGCATAAAAGTGCCTCGAGCTTAATACCTCGAGTTTTAATAGAGGGACAGGAATAAATTGGGCTTGCACAATTATACCGTTAAAATGGAAGGCGGTGATATATAATCTCCAGCCGCACATGAAAATAAATATGGCAAATGTTATATCAATCGAAAGCTCTCATCGAGCAAAGCTTAAAATATTTTTTCTAAAATTTTCTGACCATTTTGTCCAAAGTTACTAAAAAACTACTAAACAAATTCAATATAATAAATAAAATAATGTCGAACTTAATCGAACCATACCAGGGCGTCCCGGATTCGATAATTTTGAACGAAGTTATAGCTCGGCGGTACATTAAGCTTCTAATTGCCATCTAACTTGTTTTCCAAAACTTAGCTTCATTTCATGACCATTTGCGTAGTTTTTTATTGATAGAATGTTTTCTCCTGTAAAAATTGAATTGCAGATTCTTCACTCTTTGGAAGATTGAAAATATTCATTGATCTGAAAACAAATTTAAAGAAACAAAAACGGAAAATGACGCTTTTACCATATTTTTCGCTTTTTTATAAATGAATTTAATCCTTGCCCATTAATTGCCTTTGACCATTTTGTAATCCAAAAGAAATTAGAAGTGAATGTGTGAGAAGGAAAGGGGGCAACCTATATTTCTATTTATTGATCTTGAATGCCTACATCATTTCTATCAATACAACACATTGCTTTGCGGAATTACGTGTTATGCGTGTTGCTTGTCTTCAATAACTATCAATTACTTTCATTTTTGGAGGCCCACGTTGCGTCTTTTGTTATTGCATCTTTCGCTCCAAGCGCCCACACAGCTGGGCAATTTTTCTTTATTCTTTTCTCATTTCACAACAATGACTTTTCAAATCATCACAGCATTTGACTTCTCTTATGATGTGTTATTTTTATTCATTTATATTCTTTCTGCAAGTGCGGGTCTACATAACTAGTTTGTGTAGGTTCGCTATTTTTGTCTTCAGTAAAAAAATGGTCAGGGTTAAAAATGGTCAATAGTAATAAATTTAGATATAACGTAAGGTGTTCTTTCTTTCATTGTCTGGAGTACGCGTGCTTGCTATAGTATTTCTTTTTCTTACGCGCCTTTTTGTTTGCATGCTCTTCACAGCAGGCAGACATGTCTCTGCGACATTTATAAACTATTTTCTTTTCTCTGACCTGTAGTTATCTTTTTATTTAGCGTAGGCTACCATTTTGACATCACAATTCTTGTCTTTTCTACTCTGTTAGAAAAATCGATAATATTGATTGGTGGTCTATTTTACTCAAACGGTGACGTTCCCCCAATGGCATTCAATTCTGCTTATTACTATGCATTCATTTTATCTTAATGCGGAGAAATAAACTCTAAATTAATATTTTATTTGGTGTGCTTTATTATTTTTGTTACATTGTAAAGTCAACCCCGAATGCCTACATACTTAATACCTTTTATGGCATTAAGTGCCTAGCCATTTTTACCTACATTTGACACATAGTGATGTGTTGATCTCTTGCTAATCGATAAAAAAAGTTCTCTAGCTAATCGATATAAAAGATATGTAGTAACTCTACAACAGTATGTCGAGTATGTAGTAAAAGTGGAGAGCATTTAATCTTTATCGATTATCTGCTGTACATTATCGATTAGCAGTGTATAGGAGAGATTACTGCATACTCTCGCTAATCGATAAAAAGACTACTCTAAACTTTGTAGTTATCGATTACCGAGAGTGCGATAATAGGAGAGCAATGTCCACTTAATGTTTATAAATATGTTAACAAAGTTTATAAAAACAATAGAGATATACCAGTTATATTATATGAGGATAAAGTCTATATAGAGAATTCTGAAAAAGCAGAACTTTTTGCAGAAATTTTTCACAAAAATTTTAACAATTTTAACTCTAATGTTTCTCGCAATGATATTATTGCTAGCGTTAATTCAGATACTACTTATATATTGAATGATATTGATGTTACAAGTATTGAAGTTTATGAAATCCTAAAAGCCCTACCATCAAAAAACAGCGCTAGCCCGGATGGCATAAATTATCTTATGTTAAAAAATATAAGCATAATATTGGCACCTTATTTATCTGAATTATTTAGAGCTTCATTGGATGAAGGCATTATACCTGACATATGGAAAAAATCATTAGTTATTCCCAGTTTCAAAAAAGGCGAAAAATCTAATCCATTAAACTATCGTCCAATTTCACTTACTTGCTGTAGTTGCAGAATCATGGAAAAAATACTTGTAAAAAATATAATAAATTTCTTAGAGAATAAAAAGTTCTTTAGTTCGGATCAATTTGGATTTATTCGAAGAAGATCCACTACTCTTCAGCTAGTAAGTAGCTTGGAGGATTGGTACGAAGCCTTATTTGAAAAAAAGAATATAGATTGTATTTATATTGATTTTTGTAAAGCTTTCGATAGTGTTCCTCACAAACTCCTTCTTGACAAATTATATGCCTGTGGAATTAGGGGAAAACTACATAGGTGGATTAGTGAATTTTTATCAAATAGAACATATCAAGTAAAAATTAATGATGTTTTATCAAACCCATATGGAATTACCACGGGTGTTCCCCAAGGATCCATTATTGGCCCACTAATGTTTCTAATCTATATAAATGACTTATCCGACGTTATTCCAAACGGAGTCAAAATTAAACTATTTGCTGATGACGTTAAAATCTATAAAGTTTATAAGACTAAAAATGAAAGATTAGAACTAGCAGTTGCCCTTAAAAACGTCGAGGAATGGTCAAAAAAATGGAATTTAGATATATCAGTTGATAAGACATTCGTACTTCATTTAGGTAAAGATAACCCAAGGGATCAATATAAGATTTTTAATAATACTATAAATGAAGTTCAATCTATTCGCGACCTTGGAATAATCATAGACGACAAGCTTAGGTTTAAAGAACACATTAATATAATTATTCGCAACGCCTATCTAAGGATGAAAACAATTTTTAGAATAATAAAGTCAAGAAAAACATCAACTTGGATACTGATATATAAGAGTTATATTAGGCCTATGCTTGAATACGCACCGGAATCTTGGAACACTCTTTACAAAACAGAAATTAATTCTCTTGAAAAATGCCAAAAATTTTTTACTAAAAAAGTTTTTAAAAAATGTAATTTACCCGAACTACCCTATGAGAATAGGTTGGAATATCTAAACCTTCAAACACTTGAGAATAGACGTAAAATTTTTGATTTAATGCTTATGTATAAAATAGTTAATGGTTATTCTCACCTGGGACTTGAAACACTCTTTTCTCATCCTATTAAGAAATCTAGCCATTCTTCTCATAGAATTATTTCAAAAAAACAAAATTCTAAAAGTTCTAGATCATTTATAAATAGAACAACTAAAATGTGGAATATACTAGGTAAAAATACTATTTTAAGTAAATCACCCTTAGATTTTAAAAATAAGCTTAAGTCAATACTTATTGTATAAATAAACTGAGTGTTCTTAAAAAAAAATTAATTAAACTCATCCAGGCTATCTAAAAAAATCTAAAAAAATCCAAAGTTAAAAACTGTATTTTTTTGCTAAATGGGCTTTGCATCTAAGTGGCCAAATTAAATTACCTTGCGACTAAATGGTCAATTAATTTTTATACTTTCGCGTCTAAATGGTCAAATTAATTTATTTTTATTTTCGCGCCTAAATATTCAAATTAATTTATTTTTTTTTTTGCGCCTAAGTGGGCTTGGCGTCAAAGTGGCCTAATCGATTTATTCCTTATGCTGTTGTTTGTACTTTTTTATACTCTAGCATTTCTTAGTTGTTTGGATTTTTAATTAAAAAAATTTTTTTATTTTAGACTGAAATAATCTTAAAATTAAATTTACTATAATTTATTTTGCTGTTTTTTTCAGGTTTTTTTTTTTATTTTTTTTTTTTATTATATGTTTTATTTAAATTAATACACAGATATACATCTAGGCTAGATAATCTTAAAATTAAATTTACTATAATTTATTTTGCTGTTTTTTTCAGACTTGCATGCCTGGTGTGAAACGTAACCCAGTTCATTTCTCTCCAGTGCAATTTGACAATTAACTTAGTCGTATATCTGTGTATATCAATATCCCTTCATTATGATTATTTTTGTTGAATATTCAGTTAATTTATTACCATTGACCAAATATATATTTTATTAAGACAATGATGTAAGTGTCCATCCCTTTCATTGTCATTTTTATATTGAATAAATAAATTAAATAAATTAAATATAAAAAAATATTTAAATCACGGGCATAAAAGTGCCTCGAGCTTAATACCTCGAGTTTTAATAGAGGGACAGGAATAAATTGGGCTTGCACAATTATACCGTTAAAATGGAAGGCGGTGATATATAATCTCCAGCCGCACATGAAAATAAATATGGCAAATGTTATATCAATCGAAAGCTCTCATCGAGCAAAGCTTAAAATATTTTTTCTAAAATTTTCTGACCATTTTGTCCAAAGTTACTAAAAAACTACTAAACAAATTCAATATAATAAATAAAATAATGTCGAACTTAATCGAACCATACCAGGGCGTCCCGGATTCGATAATTTTGAACGAAGTTATAGCTCGGCGGTACATTAAGCTTCTAATTGCCATCTAACTTGTTTTCCAAAACTTAGCTTCATTTCATGACCATTTGCGTAGTTTTTTATTGATAGAATGTTTTCTCCTGTAAAAATTGAATTGCAGATTCTTCACTCTTTGGAAGATTGAAAATATTCATTGATCTGAAAACAAATTTAAAGAAACAAAAACGGAAAATGACGCTTTTACCATATTTTTCGCTTTTTTATAAATGAATTTAATCCTTGCCCATTAATTGCCTTTGACCATTTTGTAATCCAAAAGAAATTAGAAGTGAATGTGTGAGAAGGAAAGGGGGCAACCTATATTTCTATTTATTGATCTTGAATGCCTACATCATTTCTATCAATACAACACATTGCTTTGCGGAATTACGTGTTATGCGTGTTGCTTGTCTTCAATAACTATCAATTACTTTCATTTTTGGAGGCCCACGTTGCGTCTTTTGTTATTGCATCTTTCGCTCCAAGCGCCCACACAGCTGGGCAATTTTTCTTTATTCTTTTCTCATTTCACAACAATGACTTTTCAAATCATCACAGCATTTGACTTCTCTTATGATGTGTTATTTTTATTCATTTATATTCTTTCTGCAAGTGCGGGTCTACATAACTAGTTTGTGTAGGTTCGCTATTTTTGTCTTCAGTAAAAAAATGGTCAGGGTTAAAAATGGTCAATAGTAATAAATTTAGATATAACGTAAGGTGTTCTTTCTTTCATTGTCTGGAGTACGCGTGCTTGCTATAGTATTTCTTTTTCTTACGCGCCTTTTTGTTTGCATGCTCTTCACAGCAGGCAGACATGTCTCTGCGACATTTATAAACTATTTTCTTTTCTCTGACCTGTAGTTATCTTTTTATTTAGCGTAGGCTACCATTTTGACATCACAATTCTTGTCTTTTCTACTCTGTTAGAAAAATCGATAATATTGATTGGTGGTCTATTTTACTCAAACGGTGACGTTCCCCCAATGGCATTCAATTCTGCTTATTACTATGCATTCATTTTATCTTAATGCGGAGAAATAAACTCTAAATTAATATTTTATTTGGTGTGCTTTATTATTTTTGTTACATTGTAAAGTCAACCCCGAATGCCTACATACTTAATACCTTTTATGGCATTAAGTGCCTAGCCATTTTTACCTACATTTGACACATAGTGATGTGTTGATCTCTTGCTAATCGATAAAAAAAGTTCTCTAGCTAATCGATATAAAAGATATGTAGTAACTCTACAACAGTATGTCGAGTATGTAGTAAAAGTGGAGAGCATTTAATCTTTATCGATTATCTGCTGTACATTATCGATTAGCAGTGTATAGGAGAGATTACTGCATACTCTCGCTAATCGATAAAAAGACTACTCTAAACTTTGTAGTTATCGATTACCGAGAGTGCGATAATAGGAGAGCAATGTTCTCGTATTATTGCATACTATCTCGCTAATCGATAAAAAGACCATATACTATCCACTTCGTATCGATTAGCGAGAGAG